CAGTCAAGGTGTTTGCCTGAATTTACTGAGACGCATAACACATAGTCCACAGGCTTTGAATATTTCCCTAAAATGATTCGGTGGGATGAGAAGTGGATTTCTTGACCAATTTGGCTTAGATTGATGTATTTTGTGAGTGGGCAGGCACGTTCACTTTCCTCTTCCTCACACCCATTCTCCGAGCCAGAATAAAGCAACATTCGCACATTTTTTAAACAGTTTGAGAGATCTCGTCCACTGCGCCACCTCATCTGAGAGGAAGATCCACTTGATCTCCTTGGATGTCTTAGTTTTCCAAATTGGCTGAACCTTCAGTGCCACTTTGCTTTATTTCATTTCTTCTGAGATCTTGAGATAAGCAAAAGTGTAGATGATTTCGCAATTTTCTGTTGATAGTAACCGGTAATAAGCCCGTGATGTGGCATGTGACAATAGTGGCAATGATCTTGCGTCAATAGTTAGAAGTGCTGCCTTCAAGAAATGGAAGTTGGTGGTAAGAGTAAAGTTCTTTCAATAAAAACACAAAATTGAATCTATTGAATGTCATACAAGGCCTGACATATCGGGATGAAATAAAGCAAGATAAAGTACTTGAAGATGGCTCTTTTGGTGTTCTTGTGCTTTCGGTTTTAGATTATTGCGAAAAGAAAACCGAGTTACAGGATGTCACACCATATTCCCTGAAATGTGGTTTGGAGCTCCCCCCTGATTTCATGGAGTTATTTCGCCACTCACATCTTGGCAGCCCTACTGCTCCTTAACACTGGTACATGAAGGTAACACGCTGTTTCCAAATCTCTGCAACCCACCGTGAAATCAGAGAACTCTGCACGACATTCCAGGTCGTCTTTTGGCAGCACTGAACAATGGTGAAACACCTAGTCCTATGGATTCATGCCGTACCGAACGCAGTTTGGTGTTCCACAGTTTCCTCTTTGTGGGAGTTCTAAGCCCACCGTCTTAACCTTGTGAAGTATTACGTCGTTTTGTGCCGCTTTAAACGATATTTTATCTGCAACAATTTGACCTGAGCTTCTCAAAATATTGTTTTTCATTGAAGAAGTCCATTGTCTCACACGAACACCTCCTTCACACATCTACTTTCCCTCGACTTCGCCGTTTCATTTGTGTCGATATGCACATGCAATCTCCCAATTTTTCATCATTCGATTGTTTTGTAAATTCTACGAGCACAAATACTAAATCCCATTTCACCTACAGCAGTGAAGAGTATATGTTGCCTTCATATTGCTGGAAAGGAGGGAAGGGAGGGAAATGAGCACTACTGAGTGTCACTAACGTGCATCTGTTTGGTAGTGGATAGGTCGTACTACGTAAACCAACCACAAGCCAGGAGCAGAAGCAAAGGCTAAGCTTTTTC